TCGTGAATCTTCTCCCTGGCAAAACCACGTTTCTTCCATGAATTGGTTCGAACCCAGCCGGCCTTTCTGAAATGCACATTTGAATGCGGGCACACACAAACACACACACACACACACACACACACACACACACACAGAGGCAGGGAGCAGGTCTTCCCACGCAAAAGGAATTCCATTTATTTCCTCCATGTGTTGACAAGGCCCTCTCGGCCCCCTTCCTCAAACTTGCCCTAAAGTTTCCACTCTCCACCCAACTTACTCGCCCGTCTTCCAGCTAGATTCCACGGGGTGAAGCTGGCATGGGTCACCCCGCGCGCTGGAGGCACCTTAGAGAAGGCAGAATCAGAAGAGAGCTGGAAGGGACCTTGGAGGTCCTCTAGTCCAACCCCCTGCTCAAGCAGGAGAACCTACACCATTTCAGATAAGTGGCTGTCCAAACGCTTCTTAAAAACCTCCAGTGATGGAAAAGCCCAGAGGTGGAGAAACACTGCTTAGATTAGAACACAGGACCTAAGATTAACAGCCTGCCATCCTTCGGAGGTCGGTAAAATGAGGACCCTGATTGCTGGGGGCAATATTCTGACTTTGTAAACTGCTTAGAGAGGGCTGTATAGCGCTGTGAAGCAATGCATAAGTCTAAGTGCTATTTCTATTAGGAAACAAATCAAATCAAGGAGAGAAGCAACCTAGAACTAAGGAGAAATTTCCTGACAGTGAGAAAAATCAATCAGTGGAATGACTTCTCTCCAGAAGTCTTAAAAACACTACAGGTTTATAAGAAGAGAATGGACAACCCCTTGTCTGAAATGGTGTGTGGGGTCTCCTGCTTGAGCAGGGGGCTGGACTAGAAGACCTCTGAGGTCCCTTCCAGCTCTGATTCTTCTAGGTCTTTCTGTAAGGTGCCTCAAGCATGCCGCGTGAACCACGCCAGCTTCATCCCATTGAGTCTAGCTGGAAGACCTTCCAACTCTGTTATTCTGTTATCCTGGGGCTGGAAGGGACCCTGGAGGTCATCTAGTCCAACCCCATGCTCCAACAGGAGACCCTATACCATTCCAGACAAGTGGTTGTGCAGTCTCTTCTTAAAGGCCTCCAGTGATGGAGCACCCACAACTTCTGAAGGCAACTTCTGTCCCACTGGTTAATTGTCCTCACTGTTAGGAAGTTTCTCCTTAGTTCCAGGTTGCTTCTCTCCTTGATTAGTTTCCATCTGTTGCTTCTTGTTCTGCCTTCTGGGGCTTTGGAGAATAAGTTGACCCCACTCTTCTTTGGGGCAGCCCCTCAAATATTGGAATATTGCTATCACCTCTAGGCCTTTTCTTGGTTAGACTAGACTAATGAAACACTGTTGGCCTTGTTTTAATAATAATAATAATAATAATAATAATAATAATAATAATAATAATAATAATAATAATAATAATAATAATAATAATAATAATAATAATAGAGTTGGAAGGGATCTTGGAGGTCTTCTAGTCCAACCCCCTGCTCAGGCAGGAAACCCTATACCAGTGATGGCAAACCTTTTAGAGACCGAGTGCCCAAACTGCAACTCAAAACCCACTTATGCATCGTCGGGTGCCAGGTGGGCGTGGCCAATTGGGTGGGTGTGACCAATTGGGTGGGCGTGGTTGCGGTGGTAACGACAGTCTGGGTAGGACTAAAAAGTTCAATCAATCAATTCCAACTTAGCGAGATCTTTTTTTTCTCCGTGAGAAGTTGAAATTGATTGATTGATTGAACCTTCTTTTTTTTTTTTGCACACGGTGGCGGAGGCCTAAAGCGAAAAGGTTTTATAAAACCCAGCTGAAGGCCTAGGACTGGGGCGACGGCGTGCGTGCCCACAGAGAGGGCTCTGAGTACTGCCTCTGGCACCCGTGCCATAGGTTCACCACCACGGCCCTATCCCATTTCAGACAAATGGCTGTCCAGTCTCTTCTTAAAAACTTCCAGTGTTGGAACATTCACTGCTTCTGGAGGCAGGTTGTTCCACAGGTTAATTGTTCCCACTGTCAAGAAGTTTCTCCTTAGTTCTTGGTTGCTTCTCTCTTTGGTTAGTTTCCATCCGTTGCTTCTTCTCCTGCCTTCTTGATTGTCCATTTTGCAGTTTAAGGCATCAGCTTCCCAACCAGCTTGCCTCTTATCACCGTTCAGATTTTACAGACTGTGATTAAATTCAGTAGCTGAGCTACATCTGGTCAGCAGCGGTTCCCGGTCACGCTGTGTAAAAACTCAACTTTACAACGATGTGAAAAAAAAAAACCCCATCTTCCTGAAAAAGGGGCTTCTGTTTTTCTACTTCATCTCCAGTGAGAGAGAAAAATCCCTTTCCAATTTCTTTGAGTCACTCTTTTTTTTTTCTGCCCTTCCTGGACACTCATGGCATTTAAAAAAATAAAATAAAAAAACAACATTAAGCAGGATGGGGAAGGCATTATCTTGTCATGACCAGCTGGGCAGAAAAGTTTAGGAAAACATGGCAGTAAAATACAGCCCGGATTTTTCTCCAGGAGATCAAGACGAGAGACTTTTTTTCCCAGCCCAGCTTAATCCTGGATTAATTACCCTGAAATTAGAGGGGTGTTTTAGGATGGAAGAAGCTTTTGGTTGCTTAATTCCTCTCTCTTTGGGCCGGCCCACCCATCCTGCTGCAGGCACTGGTGATTGTGTGGTGCGGTTTTAATCCAAGTGAAATGTAGTCTGTTGGGCCGAGGCCCAAGCCAATTTCCCCCTTGCCAAAAAAAATACACGGACGTGTCTCCAAATCTCCAAATCCCGTGCCAGAGATGCTTTGCTTTTACCTATGCAGAATGGGGTTGCATGCATGACGGCGTTCCTGGCTTAAGATTGAATTCAGAGTGTGCCAAAGCAAACTGCAAAGCACAGCATGTGTGTGTGTGTGTGTTTTGTGAGTGTTACAAGAGTCGGTCCCTCTTCAGATTGATCACGTGCATTTTCTCCACTGTTTTTCGGTCATGGTTATTTCCCAGCTGATGCCCAGGTATGATAGACACGGCATGAACGCGGGATATTAAGCCCGAGCCAGTTAACAAGCAGAGCAGATGGAATTTGTGAAGTGGAATCCTTGGCAGAGGCTGGTAGCGTGTAGTAGAGGAATCCTGGCAGGGGGAGGCATGCAAACACAGCTTAGTGCAAAAAGTCAGGTTGGTTAAGTTTTCCTTTATCCCAGTGTTTCTTGACCTTGATGACTTTAAGATGCAGGAACTTCAACTCCCAGAATCCCCCAGTCAGCTTGCTTTGAGATGAGAGGACTTCAACTCCCAGAATTCCCCAGCCAGCATGCTTTGAGATGGGTGGACTTCAATGCCCAGAATCCCGCAGCCAGCATGCTTTAAGATGGGTGGACTTCAACGCCCAGAATCCCCCAGCCAGCATGCTTTGAGATGGGTGGACTTCAACTCCCAGAATCCCCCAGCCAGCAGGCTTTAAGATGGGTGGATTTCAACTCCCAGAATCCCCCAGCCAGCAGGCTTTAAGATGGGTGGATTTCAACTCCCAGAATCCCCCAGCCAGCATGCTTTAAGATGGGTGGATTTCAACTCCCAGAATCCCCCAGCCAGCAGGCTTTAAGATACATGGACTTCAACTCTTAGAATCCCCAGGCAAGCATACTTGCCAGGGAATTCTGGGAGATGAAGTCCACCCATCTTAATGTCACCTAGGTCAAGAAACCCTGATTTATCCTATTATCTTTATAGCCACCCCAAAGGCAGCAGGCAAAACCAGTTTTGCATTACACATGGGAATCTTAACTCTGCTGGAATTCAACCAGGGGTATGATGGGGTGCGGGGTTGGGGACTAGTAGGTGAAACCCCCGTGCATTCTCAAATAATGTCTCTCCCCTTCTCCCCCCCCCCACCCAGCAATTGTTTTTAACCATCTTGTCTGCTTACAGCTTCGTTCTCCATCAGACGCCCTCCAGACAGGCGACCTTGTACCACTTCCAGATTTTGCCCATTGTGGTTTGAAGGCTGGTTTGCGGCTCAGCAACACCACTTCAACTCAGTTGCCCTGCTAACCATGGCTTACTGCTTCCCAAGGGTCTCAAGCTGATGTCCTCTCCCCCCCCCCACCTCCAGCTCTTCTTAACTTCTCCGGGTCCAGTAAACTCCACCCAAAACACCGAATAACGGAGTTGGATGGGACCTTGGAGGTCACGTAGTCCAATCCCCCCCCCGCGCTCAAACCAGAGACCCCCTATGACATTTCAGACCAATGGCTGTCCAGTCTCCTCTGAAAAGCCTTCAGGGAGGGAGCAAAGCCACCATTTCTGGTGGCAAGCTGTTCCACTGGTTCATTGTCCTCGCTGTCAGGAAATTCCTCCTTAGTTCCAGGTTGCTTCTCTCCTTGACCAGTTTCCACCCGTTGCTTCCCTTATCCTGCCTTCAGGGGCTTTGGAGATTAGGTGGACCCCCCCCCCCTCTTCTCTGTGGCAGCCCCTCAACATCTCCAGTTTCGGAAGCCCAGCCAGGACACACACACGTGGACCCCCTCCTCCTTTATCTTGTAAAGCTCTCCTGGCGTCGGAGGGCAGGGACTGAATATTAGAGGATGGAAGCCCGAAAGCCCCTCCAGCTCCCAGCGACAGTGCGGTCGAGCGGTTAGATCAGACAAGGCCCGGCGGAGCCGCTTCCCCTCGCCCAGCGGGGCCCCGCAAGTTGGGGAGGGGGCGGCGGGCGGACCCTCTCCTCTTAGCCTGCTTCTTCCCTTTCCCTTCCCCTTTTCTCCAGCGCCGGCTGGCTGCCCCCCCCTTCCCCTCCTTCCCTCCATCCCTCCCCTCCATCCCTTCCTCCCCGCGTGGCAGGAGTTCAAATCCGCGCCCTACAAGGTCCGGAGGCGGGGATCGGGCAAGCCCAGCGCCTCCTCCCCGGACGGGGAGGGAGAAGGAGGCCGGGAATGGGTGGGTGGCTGGGGGGGGGGGCGCCCGCCGCGTCGGGTTTGTCAGAGCGCCGGAGGCCCACCGCGCAGCACAATCATGCTGGCCCCGCGGCTGCCGCTCGGCCCGGTGGGGCTGCTGCCGCTGCTCCAGCTGTTCCAGCTGCCGCTGCCCGTCCGGCCGGATCCCGAAGCCAGCTGCGACCCCGACGGCTGCTACGCGCTCTACAGCCAGGCGCGCAGCTTCCTCGACGCCTGGCGCGCCTGCCGGGAGCTGGGGGGCAACCTGGCCACGCTCAAGCGAGCCGAAGAGGCGGCCCAGGTCAGCCAGCTGCTGGCCGGCAGCCGCCAGCCCGGCCCGCCCCGTCTCTTCTGGATCGGGCTGCAGCGCCAGCCGCGCCAGTGCTTCCCGCAGCGGCCCTTGCGAGGCTTCAGCTGGGTCACCGGCGAGCAGGAGACGGCCTACAGCAACTGGGCGCGGGCCGGCCCGGCCGTCGGGAGCCCCGGAGCCCCCGGAGCCGGCTGCGCCGCGCCGCGCTGCGTGGCTTTGGACGACCGCGATTTCCAGTGGTTGGAGGGCTCCTGCGCCGGCCCGGTCGACGGCTACCTCTGCCGCTTCGCCTTCCGAGGCATGTGCGCCGGCTTGGAGGAGGCCGAAGCGGCCACCCTCAGCTACGCCGCGCCCTTCGGGCCGCTGCCCGCCCTGGCTGCCGTCGGGGCCCCGCCGCGCTTCGTGCCTTTCGGGACGGTGGCGTCGGTGGGCTGCCCCGGCGGCGCCTCCCTGTCCCTGCTGTGCCTGCAGAAGGAGGACGGGCGCCTGGGCTGGTCCAAGAGCGGGCCGCTGTGTCGGGAGCGAGGCCCGGGGCCGTCGGGGGCCGCGTCGTCGTCGTCGTCCTCGGCGGGGGCCGCCACGTCGGTGTCCGCGGCCAGCTGGTGCGAGGGCGACAACGGCGGCTGCCAGCAGCTGTGCCTGGACGAGGGCTCGGGCTACGCCTGCGAGTGCCACGCCGGCTACGCGCTGCTCCCCGACGGCCACTCCTGCGCGGCCCGCGACCCCTGCCGCCACCGGCCCTGCCAGTTCGACTGCGTGGCCGAGGAGGAGGAGGAGGAGGAGAGCGGAGACGGCTACCGCTGCCGCTGCCCGGCCGGCTACGAGCTGGCTTCCGACGGCCACCAGTGCGAGGACTTAGACGAGTGCCTGGAGGCGCCGTGCGAGCACCAGTGCGAGAACACCGAGGGCTCCTACCTCTGCCGCTGCCACCTGGGCTTCAGCCCCGCCGAGGACGAGCCCGGCCAGTGCGTGGACACCGACGAGTGCCAGATCCCCGGCGTGTGCCAGCAGATGTGCGTGAACTACGTGGGCGGCTTCGAGTGCTATTGCACCGAGGGCTTCGACCTGGAAGCCGACGGCATCAGCTGCAGCCCGCTGGACGGGCTGGCCGACGGCCCCGACGCCACCCCGCCCGAGGTCTGGGCCGACCCTTTCCACGTGCGCTTCACCACCCGCCAGGCGGACGACCACAGCGCCCCGCCGGTCCGCTTCTCGCTCTTCCGCGACGGGGAGACCGGCTCGTCGTCGGCGGCGTCGGATTCGGCCGCATCCTTCTTGTCGCTGCCCGACCGGCTGGTCTTCCCTCCCCCTCCGCGGCCGGCCACGCCGGCCCCCGAGTTGGACAGCGCCTGGGATTCTTCTCCCTTGGAGCACGGTTTCTCCTCGCCGGGGCACCCCGAGGTCCTCCATCCCACCCCCGCCGCTTCCCAGCTTCCTCCTCTCCTGAGCAGCTCCGTCGTTGGGTCCCTGCCTGTGGGGGTCACGGGGGAGCCCGCGGAGCCTCGGACGACCCCGCCGCCGTCGCCGCCGTCACCCCCCGGGGCGTCCGTCCCCTCGGAGGAGAAGGTGGACCCGGTGGTTGAGGGAGTCAGGGCGCCCCTGCCCACCCTGGCCACCCCCGGCTCGGCCTCCGAGGAAGAGGAGGAGGAGGAGGGGCAAGGGCGGCCGAAGAGGGATGACCGTTGGCTCCTGGTGGCCTTGCTGGTGCCCATCTCCGTCTTTCTGGTGGTCATGCTGGCCCTGGGCATCGTCTACTGTACCCGTTGCGGAGCTCGGGCCAAAAGCCGGAGCGTGACTCAGTGTTACCGCTGGGTGATCAGCACGTCCGAAAAAACGGCCCCGCCCGCCTCGTCCCGGCCTTGCCAACCGGCCACTTGCCGGACCAGTGTCTGAAGCACGGGGCCAGCACCGGGGGGAGGGGAGGGGGCGAGGGCCCTGCTCCCTGGCCGGGTGGGCACAGGACAGGAAAGACACCCCCCCTGCTCACCAGCGGGGCCAAAGCCACAGAGGGTCCCCTCCCTTTGGGCTCCAGCCTGCCAGGAGGCAGAGACCCAGCTGGAGGGGCGCCCAAGGCTGGGGTCCCCCCCCCTTCTCCCAGACTCGTGATTGGCGTCGGAGCGAGGCAAAAAAACCCAAAAAACTCGGTTGCTGGAATAAAAAGACCTTTTTTTTTTCTTTTTGGCACGGGTGGGGTGGGGGGCGTAGAAGCCCCCCCCCGCCCATTGCAACTTGGCACCCCCCTGCCTTGAGACCCGGGGCTGCTGGAAGCCTGGAGGGGCTTCATCCAAAGCGGGCAGCGACTTTCTTAGACAGTGTGTGTGTGGGGGGGGGGGGGCAGGAGTTGAAAACCTGAGACGACTTCGTCTGCCCAGCGCCCAACCAGGAGACTTAAGTTTCTAGTCCTCATGGCTTCGGAAGAAGAAACCGGACTCCCCCCCCCTCCCTTCCTCCTTCCCCCGCCAGCTCTTTTTCATCTGGAGTCAGACCACGGATCCGCACAGCTCAGGGTGACTTCTCCCACTCCGAACTTGGCGGGGGGGGAGGGGGCTTGTTAAAAACTTTTTTTTAAAAAAAAACAAACTCTGGTGGGACACCAACCCCGTAAACACACTTCGGTTGATGGGAGTTTCGTCGGCTGCCGAAGGGGGAACCTTCCGAAACGGGGTGGGGGGGTGGGAGGGCTAAAGCTGGAAGGCTTTTCACGCCCCCCCCACTTCAGTTTGTGGAGGAAATAGAGGGTGGGGTCCTCTAGGGACCAGGCATCTGGGAATGACAAGCCTGGCGCGGTCCGGGGGTGGGTGGGGCCGCGCAAAAGGCCCCCGTTGCAAAATGGGGAGGGGGGGAGAAGGAACCCCTCTGGATCTGTGGTGTGGGGGTGAGGGTCATTGACTTTGACCGCTCATGGGGTCTTCTTGGCGGGGCGGAAGATTTCCTGGACGAAGCAAAAAAAAAAAAAAAAAAAAACCGACCCCCAAAAACCCCGAATATTGTGTGCGTGTGTTTTGCGTGTCAAATAAAAGGACTGGATTTTCTAACGGGCTGGAAGTAAAAAAATAGAAAAAGAAGAAGAAGAAGAAGAAAAAAAAATGGGGGAAGAAATACAAAATGTGTGTGCCTTTGTTGGGTGAGAAAGAGGGGGGGGGTGTAAAAGGGGCAAGGAATACAATTCAGTGAATTTTAACCACTGCCTTTTTTTAGCTTGAAAAGATTAAATGGTGCCTCCCACCATTCTCAGACCTCCCCCCCATTTACGACCTCCCCCCTCCCATTTAAAGAAGGAAGTGCCAATTGGATTAAGAAGACAAAGTCGCTTCAATTCCCACCCGCAGGGTTGGGAAAGACAAAAAAAAGCGGTTCTATCTGAGAGTCATGAGGACTAGCCACCTAGACGGGAACGCTAAAAGCAGCCTGAAGGGTGCAGTTAAAAGTTTAGGAAAACCTGTTGCTTGCAGAGAACATAGAACAAGTAGAACGTAGAACACCATCAGAGTTGGAAGGGACTTTGGAGGTCTTCTAGTCCAACCCCCTGCTCAGGCAGGAGACCTTATGGTGCCTATGCCATTCCAGACAAAATGGTTGTCCAATCTCTTCATAAAAACCTCCAGTGATGGAGCAAGTTGTTCCACTGGTTAATTGTTCTGTCAGAAACTTTCTCCTTAATTCCAAGTTGCTTTTCTCCTTGATTAGTTTCCATCTATTGTTTCTTGTCCTGCCTTCTGGTGTTTTGGAAAAATAATAATAGAATAGAATAGAATAGAATAGAATAGAATAGATGGAAGGGACCTTGGAGGTCTTCTAGTCCAGCTCCCTGCTTAGGCAGGAAACCCTACACCATTTCAGACAAATGGCTGTCCAGTCTCTTCTTAAAAACTCCCCGTGTCGGAGCATTCACCGCTTCTGGAGGCAGGTAGTTCCACTGGTTAATTGTTCTAACTGTCAGGAAGTTTCTCCTTAGTTCTAGGTTGCTTCTCTCCTTGATGAGTTTCCATCCGTTGCTTCTTGTCCTGCCTTCAGGCGCTTTGGAGAATAGCTTGACTCCCTCTTCTTTGGGGCAGCCCCTCAGATATTGGAAGACTGCTATCCTGTCCCCCCTCGTCCTTCTCTTCATTAAACTAGACATATCCAATTCCTGCAACCGTTCCGTATATGTTTTAGCCTCCAGTCCCATAATCATCTTTGTTGCTCTTCTCTGCACTCTTTCTAGAGTCTCAACATCATTTTTATAATATTGGTGACCAAAACTGGATGCAGGATTCCAAGTGTGGCCTTAACAAGGCCTTGTAAAGTGGTATTAATACTTCACGTGTTCTTGATTCTATCCCTCTGTTAATGCAGCCAAGGATTGCATTGCAAAGGGTTCTTTGTACTGTAAAAGCAGGAAAACTAATAACAGGTTAATGGAAAAAGAGCTTGAAAGGGACAGGAAGGGAGAGATACAGAAAGATAGCGTGTAAAGTTTGCGGTCTGAGCGGTAAAGGAATACAGGCCCAGAAGGGATTGGAAAAGCACAGCGAAAATGGTGTGTGTCTCTCCGCCAAGCCTTTAATTTTAAGATAATTAGAAGATGCTGGTTGTTTCCAGAACTTTCCAGCTGCTGACATACCTACTATCTTCAAAATCTTTTTTTTTCCTCTGGTTGGGAAGACAGTAAATAAGGACCTTTAAATTGTCGTTCTGCTTTGTTTTGGTGGTTTGCTTCTCATTTTTGTTTATAGGGTTACCTCCCTTTCAAAATCAGC